GGGGGGGTGGGCGGGCGTCCGAATCGACGACTTCCTCTTCTTCTTTATTTTTCTCCTTACGCCGCCACCGAGGAAGCGCCAGCGCCGCCAGCTCCACCGGCGCCGCCAGCTCCACCGGCGCCGCCAGCTCCACCAGCGCCGCCAGCGCCGTTGCACTGGTCGTCCTTCTTGGGACCGTCGTCCTTCTTCTCGTCGTTCTTGCGGTCGACGTTCCAGTCCTTTTCGTTCACGCCCATCCCGTTCAGGATGGCCGACACTTCGGTCGGGCACTGGAACTCGAGATGCGAAGTCGTGTGGCCCCTTATTATTTCCTCGGACGTCAACATCGGGATGAGATCGTCCAGTGTCTCGAGATCGGCCAGCGTCGGGTTACCACCGGTCACCTGTCCCAGAGCCGCGGATTCCGAATCTAGGTCCATCGGTTCCTGTTTGATCGTCGTTAAGTAGGCGGGAATGATCGAGTCCTCGGACGGGTCGATCTTAGACAGCATGTGTACGTCTTTCATCAACAGGGTCTGGGTGAGCATCAGGTCTTCTTCGTTGACGCAGTACTGATTGTGTTGGCCGTACAGATCGTAGAGCCGGCTGTTCGGGTCGCAGTGCGCGTCGAGGTTCGGGTCGCCGCACTGGAGCTGCAGGTCCATCTGGTCGATCTGGTGGTCGGACATCAGGGACACGGGGCTGAGCAACATGCTGCTATTGTAGTCGTCCTCGCCGTCGGTGGGCAAGTCGTTCATCTGCAAGCTGCTGATGGGCGGCAACAGCGTGATCGTGGCGGCCGAGTTCAACGTGTTGAGCATTTTGATTTTTAGCGGCTTGACGTCGTAGCCGTAGGACAAGTCGTCGTAAAACGTGGCGCTCTCCGGCGAATTGGGCGAGTCGCACGTCGGGCTGGTCGGCACTTCGGCGTGCACGGAGGCGGGTATGCGCACTTCGGCCGCCCCGTCCTTGATCAGACCGGGGCTCTTTGTCGATTCGATGGTGAAATGATACTTTAGCCGGTCCGTGTTCACGGGGCTCATGCGGTTCACCTGTATGATGCCGTTGCGCCGCACGAACGTTTTCGAGTCGAACGACGGTGCCGACGGCGAGGTGGGCGACGACGACAAGGACGCGGACGACAGCGGCGGCGACGGCGGCGCCACCGAACGGGCGGCCACGGACGTGTTCAGCCTGCCCTCCAGCAAGTGGACGGTGCCGGAAGTCAGCGTGGACGTCACGCGGCCGGTCGCGTTGTTGCCGAACTTTTTGCACAGGTTCTTGCGGAACTTGGACTGGGCGGTGGACAGCGGCGCGGCCTTTGCGATGGCGGACGCGGGACCGGCGGCCCCGGACCCGTTTACGTTCTTCGGCGTTCTCTTCCGGGGCCGGTACTTGTAGTCCGGATACTCTTTCAGGTGCATGAGTCTCAGCCGTTCCGCCTCTTCGATGAACGGCTTGCGCTGTTCGTCCGACAGGGTTTTCCACAGCATGCCCAGTTTTTTCGAAATCTCCGCGTTGTGCATGTCCGGTTGGAGTTCGCATATCTTGCGCCTTTCGATCTGCGACCAAACCATGAACGCGTTCATGGGACGCTTGATGTGATTTGGATTGTTCTTTTTCGTCTAGAAAAATCAGAAACAAAATTCACGGTTAAAAAGGCGTTGGAAGTATAGGGTAATAACGGCGCGCGAGCACGGTTCGCGGAGTAGGCGCTGTTACCGGCAGGTTCCGGGCCGTACAGTACGTACGAGTAATACTAACGATAATAACAATAATAATAAAATCATATTGTAACGCCGCATACAAATGCGATTAGGCGATCGAGTGGGTTTTTTTTTTTTTTTTTTTTCTATCGAACGCGCACGTCAAACGGCAATAACGACAACAATATTCGTTGGCAAAACGCGTTGGAAAAAAAAAAAAAATTAATAATAACAATAATATTAACAACAACAATAACAATAACAATAACAATAATAATAATAATAATAATAATAACAATAATCATAGGTAATCACAGGCCCAGTGAAAACGTCCGTCGTGTAAACAAAAAACGAAAAGGGCCGGCGCGCGCACGGGCAGCAACAACCGCGGTGATAATAAACAACGATGTTAATAATAATAATAACACAATAATAATATTGCCAACGTGTAGATACGTGTTGTTGCGTGTGTGCGCGCGCGCGCGCGCGGTGCCCGGCGGGCGGGCGTCCGACCGGCCGGCCGTTTATACTTTCACTGTCAAGGCGTCGCGCCGCGGCGGCGAGCGGGTCGGTGTTGTGTAACTCAAGGTCATTAACAAGGCGCGCACGCATACACACGCACATACACGTACACAAGCGAGCGCGCGCGCGCCGCCCGGCGTACGCCCGCGTACGCTGCCGGCGGCGGCGGCGGCGGCGTTCGCACCGCGACCGTTTCCTCGCGGGCCGGCGGGCGGGCACACGCGGAAAAGGCGAATGACTCATTGCGCGCCGCCACACGCATACGCGAGTACACACACACACACACACACGCGCGCGCCCGAGCGCGCACACAAACACAACAACCTTCGGACGGGGCAACCACCTGTCTACCTGTGCGCGCGCGACCCCGCCGTCCCGTCCCCCGCCGCCGACGCGGCACGTTCGTCCGCCCGACAGTTCGGCTCAGCTGCTGCTGCTGCTGCTGCTGCTGCCGCTGGCTGTTCCGCCGCCGGCGGAGAGGTACGCGCACTCCTCTGCCCCCACCGCCCGATTTACGCCGGAATATCGCGACCGAGAAAGAGGGGAAACGATACGATAATACTGTAGTGTCACGAAAATCCGGTTGGCCGAGATTTAAACGGACGGTGGGGAGGGGAAAATGAAAACACCGCGAGAAAATATTCGCGGATTTGGTTTTAGCCACGGGAAGATTCTGTTTTTCCCGACGGAATTCGCTCGTAAAATCGCCGATAACGTACAATTCGTACGCGCCGCGCCCCCTGGGTGGGTGGGGGGGAGGAGGGAGAACGCGGAATTTTCCGCGGTCTTCCGGACGAAAAATTTCAGAGGAAATTTTAAAAAAAAAAGCCCTCCCGTTTCGCGGTCGATTGACGCGTACCGATACCGAAAACGGACGGGGCGGGCGAAAAAGAACCGTTTCGTACATTTGTCCGTACACCGCCGGGGCGGCTTCGTTAGAGTAAAAAAAAACGCGCGCTCGCTATTCGGCCGGGAATAACAATAATTCCAATCGTAACCGATCCGGTAAAAAAACCGTCGTTTTTTCCGGCGCCGTCAGCGGCAGCGCGGGCGACGGATTGGCGGTTTACGAGTTCCGAAAAAACAAAACCCCTCGACGAGCATAGGTATCGGATTCGCGTTTTTCGTCCGGCGCCGGGCGAATCCGACGACAACGACGACCGCCGAACGATACGTGTGCTACGGCGCCGCGTACGTTCTCCGCCGACCCCCCTCGCCCCTCCCACCCGCCGCGGCTGTAGGTGTCGTTTCGGCACGACAGCCGAACGACGTTTTCCGTCCGCGTATCCACTGCCGGCCGGGAACGCGTTTTCCGTCCGTTCGTCCGCGGTAAAACTAAACGGTCGTTTTATCGCGCGCGCGGGCCCGGCGATTTTACCGCCCGATTAAAAAAAACGCGATCGTTTCGGCCGCGCGCGACGGCGACGGCTCGACGGCGCACCGCTCCGCCGGTTCCGCCGCGTACGGCGCGCGGGGACCTTGGTCGAGAACCCGAACGCGCGCGGCGCGCTCACGGACGAATATCTCCGCGGAGAACCCGCCCGCGACCGTTTCCGGGTGCGCGGTATTATTACGTAGAGAGAGAGATAGAGAGAGAGAGAGAGAGAAAAAAAAAACGTACGACGATTACCGATAACACGGATACATTGTTTTTGATTTTTTTTTTTTTTTTTTTTTGCTCACTATCGATAATATTTCTTCTCCCGTCCCGTCAGTTCACCGCGCTCGCGTCATCGGTACGGGCGACGGTCGCGGCCGCGGCGCCGTTACGCGGGAAGAAATTACCGCGCGAAACGGGGAAATGCTCGGGTGGTTGTGAGGCGGTGTGCGGGCGCGTTTGCGATACATTCCGAACGGGAATCGTAATTATCTGTCGGACGAATGGCGCGCGCGATCGGCCCGGCGTAATCGTCCGCGGGTTGTGCACGCGGACCGATAAATCCCGGACGCGGCGACGATCGAAATGTTTACGAAAAAAAACCGTTTGAGAAAAAAAATCGTAAACCGGAAAAATTTGATTTAAACAATTCATTCGACACTCGACGGACGGGTGAGGGAAAAAATGCGTCGCGAACTCGGCGACCGTTGATTTTATTTTATTATTTTTTTTTTTGTCGATCGCGTGTACGCACGTTGATTTTTCCCCAAGTCCCGTGGAAATAGCGGGCGGGCGGCGAAAAAACACGATTTTTTCCCCGCTTTATTTCTCGCGTTTTTCGGAAACTCCGTAAACAATCGCGGAATTGAGCGGCGGGTTTTTTTTTTTTTTTCCCCGGCGTTTTTAATATCGCCGTCGAACGTCCGGCACGGGGCGCGAGAACTTTATCGATATCAGCGTTTTTTTTTTTTCTCATTATTGTCGCCGGTCCGAATTGAAGAAATAAAAAAATTCGTTGACGAAAATTACGCACGAGTTGTAAAAAAAAAAACCGACAGAAAAAAAAAAATGTTTTTTGTCGAACGCGCGAGAGCTCCGAGATAAGAGACGTCATCTCGGCGAACGGATGTATTTTAACGACGGATCATCCCGAGCGAATTTTTTTATGAATATTTTTTTTTTTTTTTTTTTTTTAAACGAAATTATTATTTATTTTATAGCGACGGACGAGAAAACCGACCGGGGAAACCCGTCGGGATTTTTCGTCAGGAAATTTTGATAAGTTTTTTTTTTTCTCTCGGACTCGCGGTCTCCGACCGGGATAAAGCGCGACGTTGTTTTTTATTATTATTTTATTTTTTCACATAATTTCGGTAATAATCGTTTTTTTTTTCACCCGCAGTCGCCGAGAGAAACCGGAAAAAAAAAAAATAACCGGCGACCGGCGATTTTTTTTTCTTCTTCCCGGCCGCTCGCCCGTATTTCTCGTGGAAACAGCCGATTATTTTTTTTTCGCCGCACACGCGCCGTATCCGCGGACTCGGCGTTTTCATAATGGTTTTTTTTGTGTGTCCCCGTCACGCCGGCCGGGCTTTCTCACGCGGAAAAATATCCTAAAATTTTTATCCTATTTTGTCGGGTCGGGGGAAGCCCAAGTCTCGAAACACGTACCTGCGTCGCGTCCGAGTACGGCGTCGGCGAATTCTCGTCGACCAGCTGAGATCCGAACAGCGGCTGTTCCATGATCGCGTCCGAGTCGTCGGGGCTGACGACGATCTCCTGTTTCGGCACCATTGTCGGTATTATCGGAATTTTCGCGTCGGTTATCCGGCCCGGGCAATAGGATTCGGGACGCGGGAACGGAAAAAAAAAAAAATTATTTCAACGAAATCACGGTCGACACGAAAAATTCGAAAAAATTTTTTCGCGAAAATTATCGCGTTCGTTCGGGGGAAAAAAAAAAAAATAAAATAAATATCGACTTCGAAAATGTTTGACGGGAAAAAAAAAAAAAAATAAAAAAATATATCGGTAAATTATTGTTTAGTTCCGACGTATAAGTGTTCTCGCACACTTCGCGTAAATACTCGGTACGAAAAATAATATTAATAATCGCGACCGTTCACGACTGTCGGTCAACACACGCGATCGCGCACTGACACCGGTGTCTCGGGCGATGTGCCTCGGCGTATGCTCAAGCGTCCGGAGACTCACTGACTGACTGACTGACTGACCGCGGCGCGCGGGCGCTGGACAGAGAGACGCGAGAGCAACTGATCGACAACGACGACGACGACGAAGCCACGGGGACTGACCACTACCACTACACAGCAGCGCCGGCCGTCTACTGACACGCGGTACCGGCTTCACGACTGGTGTTGTTGTTGTTGTTGTCGGCGTTGCGGATCGCGACTGTGCTGCTGCCCTGCGGCCGTGTTTACCAACGTGTACATGTCGCGCGTACAATGCGGCGTCGCGTACTGTGCCGGCGGGACTGACGAACGACTGCTGCTGCTGCTGCAGCTGTGCTGGCCCGCTGCCGCCCGAACGATACGGCGGCGCGCGCGGCTTCGCGTAGAGAGCGCTCCGCGTACGGCGGCGGCGACGACGGGTCGAACGGGCGTGCGCGCGCGCGGTCGCGACGACGGTACGGCTGTTGAGAGTTACGGCGGCGGCGGCGGCGAGCGGGCGAGTTACGTTGACGACGCGTGTGCGTACGACGTGCGTAAACGGTTTATGGGATCGCTGACGGGCGCGCGCTGTATACTGAACGGCGCGCGGCGGCCGGTCATAACGTCGTCGTAGCCCCCACCGCCGCCGCCGCCGCCGCGAGACTCGTTTCGACGCGCCATCACGGTAACGCGGCCCGACGGATTCTCGACGTACTACGCCGTCGCCGGAACGCTTTCCGACCTTAGAATACGGTTCTGGAAAGTTCCGAAATTCCGCCCGCGAGGATTCGGCTTTTCGAACGATACGTCGTCGTTTTAATATTCGAATAACAATGAAAAAAAAATTAAAAAAACAACGCTATTATTGAACGGCGGCGGAGGCGGTCGAACGAAATTTCCACGGTGACCAGGGTCCGTTCACATTTCCTGCACGGACGCGTAATCGGAGAATATAAACGGTTGACGGGGAATGGGCTGAACGTCGAAATTCCCAAAAGGAAACGATACGATATTATATCGTACCGTTATGCCGTTATGGTCAAAACCGAACATCCTTCGGCCCCGCGAATCGCATTCGCCACGACCAAAACCGACCGGGACTCCAGTACTGTAGCGTTTTAACTAATTTTTTTTTTCTGTTGCAACCATTCGCGTCCGAAATATATTGATGCCGATCGATTTCCAGACCGTTTACTGAATGTGGTAATTCGAACACGGGGTGTGCCGCCCGCGGCCCGCGGCAGATTTCAATGCGGGCCCTCGCTTCGATTTCAAAAACCGTCGGTTGATATAACGAGAACAAATTTATTTACAGAGCATAAAACTACGAAACATTAAAAATTAAAATGAACTTTTAATTCCACATAAAAGTATAATACACAAAAAGTTTTATCTCTTTCGGGATCCGTTAGCGATTAGGAAACTAATGTAACTGAACCAACGATAAAATCAATTTTAAAATCGTTTTCTGTTTATATTATAGATGAACGTATTATATGTTTTCCTCGTAATTATAAACAAAATTTAACGGTTCGTACAAATATTTCTGCTCGTTGTTCGCCGTACGGTAAAATTGTAAATACCAATATGCGTGGCCAACGACAACTTCCGCTTGGCACGATGTGGCCCGGTCTTCGCGAAAGGTTGGACGCCCCCGGTTTAAACCGAGTAACAGTAGAAATAACAGTATACACACATATCGGGTATACGCATCGGGAACGTATTCGATTGACGACGGATCGAAGTTGTCTCTCGGTTGATTTGACGGTCGATTTTTATCGATCGGCGTGGTTTGTGGATCGCGCGCGCAATAGACCGTACGGGTCGGACCTATCCGAAAATCAGAAAATCCGGATTTTGGATTTCGAAATTCGGAAATCGTCTGGTCGGTACCACCGAGGAAGTCGATTTTCGATTTTACAATCCGATTTTTCCATAATAATCGGGAAAAAAACGTAGGGACAAACGGACGAACACGTTACGACAAAATACGATTATCGGCCTTTTGTAGACGTGGTGAAATGTTCAAAACGTTCTAGCTGTTTTCAGGCCACTTACGGTTACTTGGTTATTTCGTGTTTGTATGTGTATTTTCGTTTGGCAGGTATCCGTGATTAAAACCGTTATGCGTGTCGAGAGAAACTTTTCGGATTTCGAAAATCCGCATTTTTTCCGCCGCCGAACCATTTAAACCCGGCGTTAATTCTCTATGGTTTTTTTAACTAGTAAAAATCGAATTCGACGAAAGATGTTTGTGAAATCTGTTTTCGACCGGTCGAATCACGACGCGATTGCCATCGCCCCGTGTCTTTTCGGCGGGAAATTCGACAAAACGATCGGAGTCCGCGCGTCGCCGCCCCGCCCCCTTTCACGTGATAATGCGCGTGTGCGCCCAGCAATTGTCGTACGCGCGTAACGTTATAATAATTAACCGTTAGTTTTGTGCGGACGTCACTGTAACCGGTCTCCCGTTCACGCCGAGGCGATGGGAAGAGGAGTGGGACGGGACGGAGCGGCACGGTTAAACGCGAGTTTTCCACGAGCGCGGAGGCGAGGGTCGGCGCGTCGGTCGGTGTTACTCGTACTTTTGGAACTCCGCGGTCTTTGACGACGACGACGTGTCGTACGCTGTTCAGGAGTCGCGGACAACCGTATTGGGGGAAAAAAAAAAGAAAAAGAAAAAAAAAAGCCCGCGAAAACACGGCTGTAGTAGAATTCCACACCCTCTGCTACTAAATATTTTACGCTCTGTGGAAATATCATTTTTAAAAGTTGCGATTTTATCGCGAAAACCGGCCGGGGCGTGATGCGGAACTCGAAAACCCCCGAAAAACAACACACGTACCAACGCAATATATAATATATACAATTTCACCCCCTATGTTCGTACTGAAGGTCTGCCGGTGCGTTCAGAGCTGAAAAAACCAACCCCCCCCCCGCCGTAACTCCACGCCGACATTCTCACTGAAATCCAACCCGAGGAGTTCAATTATTTGTCCGACCGCAAAACAACTCACGTTCCCGGGTTTGAGCTCATCGCACGGTCCAGATGGACCGGAAATACGGCGTGCGATAGCCTCTGTTTCTGGAGGGAAATACGATTAAACAAAGCACATTTTAAATAGGTTGGGAAAATATTCTTTCTTCGCAATTAACCGGCCAACGGTTATCGCGTTTGTACGAGTGCTAAATACATTTTTTTTTTTTTTAACGCATTTCAACACCGGTCGAGTTTACGGTTATTATTAGTGAACCGTTTCGCATTTCGTCAACGTCACCGCCGCCGGCGGAACGGATGAAAATTGGATTATGAAAAACGTCCGATTTCCGAAAACTTTGGCTCCTTTTCGAAGTGCTTGAAAAATATTTCAAGTTCACGACAGTAATAATATTGATATTATTCAAAAAATACCCGCGCGTCGTACAATATTCTCGAGCGTACGGAAAATGCCTACACGGAACGCCTGACTATCCGTATGTTTTCAATGTCCATAAAAATACAATAATTATTACCACGTAACATTATTACTATATTCAGGAACCTGTGCCGACGATTAAACCTACGGCTACTGCCGTGATAGTTGTGAAATTCCGTAATAGTTTCTACCGTGACCTCATATCACGCCGTGCGGCAGTAACTGCTATCATGAGAGCGACCGTCACACGATATAATATCGTGCATGCGTGACAGTTGATAGTTATACTGACGTGAGATTCTGAGATTGATAGTGACTATCGCAAACACATAACATTATCGTTCTATTTAACTATCGTTTCGTACTTTTACAGACTATCGAAACTCACTCTACTATTGTGATATTATTGCCTTCTACTATATCACACTAGTGGGCGCTGTTAGGTTGTCGTAACACCAACTATCACGATAGTAACTATCATCAGGTGAACCGGTATTATATGGAATTCACGATCGATTCTCAAAATGATTTTTTATTACAAGTAGTTTAAAAATAAATAATCGCGTATCGAAAGAACCGAATTTTCGTAAGGTTTTGGTGTTTATTTTGAAATTAAATTATTAATTTATTAATAATGAAAGCTTGTGTTTATTTGTCAGTGCGCGACCCACAGGCATTGAATGTATTGCACGCAGAGATCTGTGATTTTACATACAGAAGCGGATGAACGGTTCAAAGCGTAACTGACCTGGCTGATTAATGGTTTTGGTTTTTTCAGATCGAAAATTGAATTTTTTTTTATTGGTATGATAGTCACGAGCAAAGTAGTACAACTGCAACAGTGAACATCTTTGATATTAGCAGGGACGGAAACGGGTATACACGTTAAATTTAATTAAATTAATCAATTTCGGTTTTTTCAAAAAATTTGATTTCAAATTGGGGGAAAAAAAATAGAGAAGGTATTAAAATGGCATGGGCAAAATAGCTTAAATTTAAAAATAGAAGAACGGGAAACCTAAGCGAATTGACGACTCTTAAGTTAAACGTAGTTTTAATGTATTTATAGATAAATACATAAATCATACATACATACACTGATAAACTGATTAAGATTCTTACAACATACAAATTAAATTCAAATTTTTTTTTTTTTAAATCGGATAAAAATAACCGTTTTAATGAAAAAAAAAAAATGCTTAAAAAATCGAAATTCGTCATCTTTTCAATACCACTGGGTATGTTAGTAGTGCCGGCCCGATAGATTTTGGGGCCCGGGGCAGAATTTTTCGGGGCCCCATATATATTTATATTTAATTATTTTATTTTCTAACGAACTTTATTTTCATATAATTTTATAAACTTTAAAGTCTTGTTAGAAATCTAAATGTGTACCCATACGAAATGTAATAAAATCAAATTTGTATTTTTATATTAGACACAAAATCAGTAGGTAATAATATAATATTATTTAAACATATTTTTTTTTTCGTGTTTTTTTGATGCAAAGAGGTCGATTATCTCTCTATGTTCAATATTGATAAAATATGTTCGAGTGTTTTCAAGCCAATAAAAATGTGTTAAGCTATGTATAAATGGCACCATCTTGATTTTCGTCGATAACATCAACTTATTCTAAGAAAATCACACAGCTACGCAATTTACGTACTATTGGAACAATGTTATTATGATTATTTATAAATTGATATTCAGAATACATAATTTGTGGGGCCCTGCTCAAGAACCGGCGTGGCCGCACCGCTTGGTCCCTCCCCTAAAGTCGGCACTGTATGTTAGCATTTGACTAGGGAAAAACGACCTATGCAATTTACTTATATAAATTTCCATTGTTCATGAGAAATTTAATTAATGCATTATACAGTGACATACTGTCAAAAATAAACGGTCCACTCAGTAGAATTAATTTTATATTCTTTATGTAGCC